TGACACTGATACACTGATACTGAGCGCACTGAGAAGGATGATTACATCTGGAAAATACTTTGTCAACGAATCCCCCCCCTCCCCCATATTCTCCAAGACTTACGTAACTCCAAATGTTTCAAAATATTGCCTAATAGATCAAATCAATCAAAATGGGACTAATGTTTTACTGCAAATGTTTACTTTACTTTTCAGTTCTGCCTCACGAATGGAGGAACGTTCCTTGGGGGTGAGTTTATTTTTCAATGTGTGGTGTCTCTGGTGTTTAGTGGCTTTTATTCAAATAACACTTTCTAAAAGCACAACAATGAACCTGCACACTCCTTTGTTGAGACTGACCTTTGTTATGCAATTGTTTCTATTTGTTGTCTAAAATCTATAAAATAAATCATATATAATCACTTATAATCCCTAACACTAACCCTATATAGTATACAAGTGTGAATATAACATATCATTAAAACTACATTTAAGTAAATTAAAAGAGGAAGGCCTTAAACAAGAAGAGACAATCTAACATAGAAAATGAGGACTGTGATATCCACCACTTGTTTTTTTTGTTATAGAAAGGATTATGATGTTGTGATAGAAAAAATATGGAAGTGTTTCAATGCTCTCCTTTTACTGGACCCCTAACTCTAATCCTCTAATAACTCCTAATATCACCTGCCTCGGTAGTGATTGTAATCTACTGTTCATAGACCTGCTCTTATAAGTGAAGCACTAAGCCGTAAAACACCACAGCAACATGGAGGTCTCTGCTCATGTCACTGCTTAGAGAGAGCGAGGGCTTCATAAGACAATAGGAAGAACACTGTTCATCAACCAATCAATAACACAGAGACCACAGCCTGTTCCTCTCAGAGGGGATGCACAGTTGGATGGTGCATGGGCAGAGGACCACATGCAATCACTTGACCCTCTATCTATCGGCAGGAATACTGGTGACATGTTTTGATAAGTCAATGGGTGGGTCTGTGCTAGGCGATAGAGAGAATACATGCAACAATAGAGTTCAGATGGATATTGAGCTTCATAGTACTGCAGCAGGTACTGCCACTCGGCTCTCTGGGAAACAAAAATGGGAATTTGTCCGAAAATAGTCACCTCAGCATCTATATAGAATTATTTTGGATCCATTGCTAATCCAAAACTGCTAACACCTTTGAACTGGGGCAATCTGGAGGGTTTTTCTAGCTTATTTTCAACAGGAAGTGTTCATATCCGTTCAATGTGTGACACATCCATCCTGCATCAGATTTAAGACAATAAAACATTTATAGCTGCAGGTCCTCACACAAAACACTACAATGTAAATAACACTGAGCAACAACTTACACGTTAAGGTAACTATGTCTCATTCACAAGTTTCAAGTTTAGGAACGTCAACTTGTGATTATTCCATATTTTCATTGCTTTTTATTTTTCCCCAAGAAACTGTGGTCAAATGATATTACCAAAGTAGTGAAAAGGAAACTTAAAAAAAAAGATCAATAGTCATTTTTGAATCACTAAAGATAAATCAACTTTACCTCAGGAGGTCAGTAAACATAACATTGTACATTAATAAAGGCAATTCCTTTTAAGTCACATGTGTGCTATAACCGGGAACGAAAGTGAAAGTGAGCAACTGTTATTGTATAAAAGATACTTTCCTGTCGAGTCGAGAGGCACTTGGGTGAGAGACACATAACGGTGAGGATTTATATTATTTCCCAATTATTGTTATGCTATCATCATTTTGATTATAGTTATCCTTTTTGTGTAACACAGATATAGAGATAATTACTGTATGTATGTTAACATTATTTTTATTTCAAACCTTTAATGTTTTGTAGAGCTGCACTTAGAAAAAAAGGAAATATATATAAACCTATATTTTTCTAGCTCTGGGGGTTTATTTGGTTTTATTTAATCTCTTTATAACCTGCACAAAAACTGAATTTGTCAAAACGCTGCTTGTTTGTAGTGAGCAAGATTAAATGAAACATAATTTCTCTGGATATAGTAAATACAAAATAAGTCATTTTACCAGAGATTGCTGTTTCGTGATTCACTTAGATATCCGGGTCTTGGTTTGAATATAGTCTGATCATAAGGCAAATAAAGCATTATAGGGTATTTGTTCCTGACTGCACTCAAAGAGAAGAGCATTAACACTCATGTTTGTTCTTTAAATAAAAGAAAGGGGATAAGTGAAATAATGTATTTTACCTTATTTTACCTTAGTGTCAGTAGCCTCTGAATTTCTATCCACCAGGGCATGCAATGATTTCTGTCCCCAGAGTCAGAACTAAACATGGTAAAGCAGCGTTCAGTTATTATGCTCCAAATATCTGGAACAAACTCCCAGAAACCTGCAGGTCCGCTGCAACTCTGACTACTTTTAAATCCAGGCTGAAGACTTTTCTTTTTGTCGCTGCTTTTAATTGAACTATTCATATCTTAAACTGCACTGTAACTTTGATCCATGTATTTTTTCTTTTAATGTTTATTTGATTAGCTTTTCTTTTTAATGACTGATTTTAAATGCCCTTTTCTTAATGTCTTTCATTTTTTGTAAAGCACTTTGAATTGCCTTGTGTTGAAAAGTGCTATATAAATAAACTTGCCTTGCCTTGCCTTAAATGTCTGTTAGACATATTGGTGCAGTAAACATAAACAGAGTTACGCAGTTGCACTGAAATTGTAGATAAACAAAATATTTCAAGTCTATTTTAAAACGACTTATTTAAAGGGTTTAAGATAACACTACTCTAAAGTAAAAATGTTTTACAGTTTTTAGTTATTTTACCTTTGTACCTTTTAAATTGAACAAACTGTATTTGTTGTATATTTTCTGCAGTAACAATTCAGCAGACTTTAAGATATTAATAAATTATAAAAAGTGTTCCTGTGCAGCATATTTGAGTCAGTATGAGAAGTTGCAAAACAAAGGGATTTACAATACTTTACACAATTATAATAATACTTTGCTATACATGATGAATATTGTGAAATATTTTATCTCAAATGTTGTATTGATAATGTTTTTACAACAATTTGTTGTTGAAGCCATGGGAAACTCGACCCCCCCACCTCCCCCCCCCCCCACCTTCTCCAAAAGGTAAGTAATGCAAAAATATTCTAAACATTGCCTAATAGATGAAATCAATCAAAATGGGACTAAGGTTTTACTGCAAATGTTCACTTTACTTTTCAGTTCTGCCTCACGAATGGAGGAACATGCCTTGGGGGTGAGTTCATTTTTCAGTGTGGTGTCTCTGGTGTTTAGTGTTTTATTCAAATAACACTTTTTAAAAGCACAATTATGAACCTGCACACTCCTTTGTTGAGACCCACCTTTGTTATGCAATCTTTTCTGTTTGTTGTCACTTTTTATAATCATGTTGGTTTCTTATCTTGGGTCTCAGTGACACCATTATACAAAACTGATAATAATTTGATCTAAACTAAAGTCTATTGTTTTTCCATTGAACAGAAACAAAGTGAGAGATTTACAGATTGTGAACGATTACCAGCCTTTTAAAAAGGATGTCCAGCTCAGATTAATGCTTTATGGACCTGCTGGTGCTGGCAAGTCCAGCTTCATCAACTCTGTGGACAGTGTTTTACGAGGCAAAATAACTCATCGAGCTGCTGCAGATGCACACTTCCAGGGGTGCTTCACCACAAAAGTAAGAATCCCTGAAAGCATTTCACAAGACACAACAACAATTAAAAAACACAGAACATATTTTTCTCTGGCTCAGTGGTTAGAGCTGGTGCTCCATGTTCTGAGGCTCAGTCCCTGCTGATGAGAGTTTGAATCTGGCTTGTGGTTTGTTAATACATGTCTTCTTTTTATCTCCCCCCTATCAAGAGGCTGATTCTCAAATAAACCGGATAATCTGCCACCCCCCCCCCATTATTGCATTACAATTTGCGTTTTTTAAATGTTGTTTGGATTTTTAAAATGTGGTATTTGATTTTAAGTTGGGTTTTTTTTTATGTTAATTTGTGTTTTTTTGTTATATGTTCTATTTTGTGAAATTATGTTATGTTTTAAACGTTAGGGCAACCATAACGGCGTTTTTTTTGTCTTACAGTACAGAGAGTACAAAATCCAAAAAGTACCAGGGACACATTACCCTTTTGTCTTCAATGACATCATGGGCCTTGAGAGGGATGCAGGAAAAGGAGTTTGTGTTGAAGACGTCAAACTGGCCATGAAGGGACACGTGAAGAATGGTTACCAGGTACAACTTGGTACAACACAATCCCACATTGTGGTCATTTTCTACTATCAATATTATGGATGGAATGTATGAAATGTGAATTATGGAAAACTAACGAGACTCCATTAGAAACTATTGTATTTGTGCATGCAAATGTATTTTTATTTCGTATTCAACATTGTTTTCCAGTTCAATCCTCTCTCTCCCATCTCTGAGGATAACCAACACTACAACAGAGACCCCTCTCTAAATGACAGAGTTCATGTTCTGGTTTGCGTCATCCCTGGCAACATAGCAGGATTTCAGAATGATGATAACCCATCACAGTTACTGACTGAGGATTTCGAGAAACAGTTGAGGGAAGTCAGACTTGCAGCCAGGGACATGGGTAAGGGTTGGATAATAAATGAACAAATACAATTATATACATTGTATTTTAAAAGTATATTTAATGTATCATAATTCTAATACAATATAATAACAGTAAAATAACCTGACCAACTTTATTTTAACTGAATCTGATTTTGCTCTGTCTTTCCAGGGATTCCTGAAATTGCTATTCTCACCAGAATTGATGAAACCTGTCCAGAGGTCGACAAGGATATAAGGAACGTGTATAAGAGCAAGCAACTGAAGAAAAAGGTACGTTTCTAGTGTTAATTTAGTTTTAGGCAACTGTAATTCAAGTTGGAATATCGTTTTGTTTTACACTGTTATATTTTAACAGCAACATGTCCTTGGATCAGCACTTTCATTTCTTAAATGTCAAATTCTTAAATGTAGATTGAGGAGGTGAGTGGCAGGATGGGATTTCCACAAAACTGCATCTTTCCTGTGAAGAACTACCACTCAGATATCGACACAAATGATGACACAGATACACTGATACTGAGCGCACTGAGACGGATGATTGAATCTGGAGAAGACTTTGTCAACGACCTGTAAAATTACATTCTGCTGAGGCAGGTCTTCTTTTTTTTTTTAAATGTAAAAAGGTCCTGGGAACAAGAATGATAATTACATGAAATGGGCAAAATGGCTTTTAGTTATTTTTGTGCAGCCTGTAATGCATCATATATATTCTATAAATGATGGTGTCTCTACCATAATGAGTAAAGTATGAAAATACTTTATTTTTCCTATATTTGAGGTTTTCTTTGCATTGTGATATTGTTAGTTATATGCTCTTTTGATTCAGGTGGTAATTTATATTGCCTTCGCCGCAGGTAATCGAGAATCTGAATATTCATAGGTCGAAGATGATATTTGGTTGAAACGTGTTCAGAATAATGATAACATATGCTGTACTTGTCATTGATTAAAAAGTGTTTTGTATATAATTTGTTTTAATGTAATCAGATCATATTCATCAAATAATGATAAAATCAATATTTTTAAATGACATAATAAACATAATTGTTTCAATCAAGACAACAGATCAGAGCAGTTCTGTGATATGCAGCTCATTCAGATCAAAGCAGCTTCACTTGTCTCTAAGAAAACCCTCGTCAGGTTTTAAAACATGCATGTGATTACACTCAAAAACAATACATGGTGTTTCTTATTTTTGCTTGCATTAAATGGTTCAACAAATCAAATGAAGTTATATTTATATAGCATATTTATATAGCACATTTATAAACGATTTTTGGTCGAGCCAAAGTGCTGTACATATAATAAAAATAGCCTATTGTAGAGACACTTTACAGCAAATACAACAGCACAGATTGTTCAGAATAACAGTATGAGAAAAAACGACACCCTCTGTCCTGAGACCCTCACATTTGTACAAGGAAAAACTTCCAGAGAAAACCCACAGTTTAAGGGGAAAAAATGGGAGAAACCTCAGGGAGAGCAACAGAGGAGGGATCCCTCTCCCAGGACGATCAGACGAGCAATAGATGCCGTGTGTAAATCGAAGAGATAATACATTTTACAGCATAGGTAGTCCAAATGTTAGGAAATGCATGTGTCTGTAATAAGAAGATGAATCCACGAGGATGTCAGCTACAATCCTGTGGAAGCCATCAGGGAAGCAGCATGACGAGACCCAAGGCAGGACCGCAGAGACAGGTTCAGCCACGACCCGAAGTCCACGACTTAATCCAGAACTCAGGATAGAGGATCTAGGACACAGGACTACAACAAGAGGATCAGCCTCGACTCCGGATCCCGGCGTAGATATAGATACAAAACAGAAAAAATGTGGCTGGGTTAATCGGAACAAGAGAATACACAGACACAGACAGACAGACGGAAGAACAAGCACTCCCTTAGAATAGGTTGAGGGCAAAGGGCTATCTTAATAAAAAACATTCTAATTTAATTTTGATGTATTGTTACATATAAATTATTTTTATTTTTTCCATACTGCTGCCGCTTCTCGAGGTTAAGAGTAATACTACAGCACATAACACAGAATGACAGAGTGCAATGCAGGAAATTAGAACCGGGGCTGTTGAGAAAACATCCGTAGCTGCAGCCCTGCAAGCCCACCCCCTCCCTTCTCCCCTGATTCTTTTAAATCACGTGATCTAAAGGAAACTGTAGATACCATCAAACCAGAATATAACAGTTATACTGGACACACTTCACATTCTAACCATGTTTTTGTATTTCAATAGTATTTGGGTAAACTCATGAGAAAGTGTGTTTAAGTTCTAAAGTCACATTCAGATTACATTTTTTAAAATGGGTGTAGAGGTCTACTGTTGGATCTGACACAGACTAAATGCATCCAGTCATTCAGTTGTGACTAAGTGTACTATTGTCATTTGTGAAGAATGACTAAAGAGAAATCAACATTAAGTTGTACATCGATAAAGGCAATTCCTTTAAGTCACGGTGTGCTATAACTGAACATGAAAGTGAAAGTGAGCAGTTGTTATCATATAAAAGAGACTTTCATTTCGAGTTGAGAGGCACTTGGGTGAGAGACACATACAACTGAAGGAGAGGATTTATATCACTTCGCAATTCTTGTTATGCTTTCATCATTTTGATTATTGTTACGTCCCAACTAGGGGAAGAGGAATGCAACACACACCAGTATGTAATTGGTAATAATTATAAGTGGTTTTATTATAAACGGGAGAATCAAAATGGCAGGCAAGCAGCCTGAACAAAAGGGCCAAAAGGGCACAGGTTGATAACCAAACAAAAGGAGGACTCTAAAAAAGGAGTCTAATGGCTTACAGGGAAAATAAATATACGCCGGGATCCGGAGTCATGGATGATCCTGCGCTCCTCTGTCCTGGATCGCGAGCCCTGGATCTTGAGTCGTGGCTGTGGTCCTGGATCATAGGTCCTGGATGGATATCCTCGTGGATTCATTTTCCTATTATACACACATGCATTTCCAAACATTGGACTACCTATGTTGCAAATGTATTATCTTTTCAATTTACACACGGCATCTATTACACGTCTGTCCGTCCTGGGAGAGGGATCCCTCCTCTGTTGCTCTCCCTGAGGTTTCTCCCATTTTTCCCTTTAAACTGTGGGTTTTCTTTGGAAGTTTTTCCTTGTACGATGTGAGGGTCTAAGGACAGAGGGTGTCATATTGTCATACTGATATTTTGTACAAACTGTAAAGTCCACTGAGACAAATGTAACATTTGTGATATTGGGCTATATAAATAAACATTGATTGATTGATTGATTGATTGATAAATACTAATATAAAGAACGAAACAAAACCTCACTTTAAAAGTGGTACAACTAACCAAATAATCTATACAAAACACAGCTAAACTAAAGGCAACAGTCACACAATACTAACCACTCTAAATACAGACCACACAAGTTAACCATAGAACAAAGAGCAAGTAGCGAGAGGCGTCTGTTCACTCAACAGAGCCTCCAGAGTGGTAGTTATTAGTGATGTTACGTATTGCGTCGAGGCTTCGGAGCGTGTTTCCCCGAATCCCCGAAGCTTTTTGTGAAGCATGTATCGAGGCTTGTATGTGTGACGTCATCGATGACAAACGAAGCCTCGCTGCCTGTCGATAACACGTGACTGCTTCAGGAAGCGATTCAGATCGGTTGAACCAGCACCATTCTTTCACACACACATACGGGTTTTGGGCCGAGGGCGACACCGTACTTCCGGTATCAACCATTTCACACGAGGTGCATACAGAATATCATAGTCGATTGCCTTAATCAATATAGTCAACTCTAAAATACCACACATATGCATTGGCATGATAATATTATTGTGACAAGTGGGGTATTCACCTGGTGTTTCCAGAAGATAGACGTAGATGCCAAAATCCACCGAAGGCCACTTTCTAGAGTTGTTTTTCCATACATCTGCAGGTAGTCTGTAAGGGCAATCGGACAACCCACACAGCTCTAGTTTACGCTGGTAATGACCTAGAGCACACCCCTCAAGTCCAGAGATGTAATCCGAAGACATGCAGCGATTTCTTCGCTGTCGTTAATTCAGAAAAATTCAGAAAAAAACCTAGTGCGCTCTGCCTGGCTACTTTACCTAGCTGTTTATATTAGCGCCTCCAGGATATTAGCACCTCCAGGAAAATTGCGTATTTATATATATATATGGCACGCGTTGCATTGTGGGTAGCTCGTGACGTCACTGTGTGTGAAAGAATTCAAAAGATTATTTCCGCGGCACACCTTCATATGATCATTATAGTTATAAAAACAATAAGAGAATAAATGAAAAACAGGTATGAAATACTATATGGCAGTAAAACAAGAATACAGTTTAAAAGGGGAGTGATTTGTAAAATATCCATAAAGAAAAAGAAAATCTGTTTACAGTTCTGTTTCATCTGGGTGCTGAGAGAGGTATCCATAGATCTCTTCATGTTGCTCTCAAAGTGCACCAGATTGATGCTTTCAACTTCAATATTAAAAAAAAAAATCTGCCTATATGCCGTGAGCTGATTATGGAGTAGTGTTATCACGATACCAACATTTTGGTTTCGATACCGATACCAAGTCAAGAATTGCGATTCCGATTATTTTTCGATACTTTTCTTAAAAAAAGGGAAACAGTCTTAAATGTAATTATTGTGCTTTATTTCACACCAGAACCATAACCATAACACAAACTTTTAAACAATGAGAACAATAAATTAAATAAATGACTAGAATTTGTATTAAATACAATCAAGCATCATCTATAAACAACTTTTTAATTTTTCGCTTCTGGCGTCTTTTTTGTCAACAAGCCGAGGCGCAGCGGCAGTTGCACTCCCACTTGCAGCCATGCTTCTCGCTTTCTCACATGCTCTGGCAGCTAGCGTGTGCACGAGAGAGGGGAGGGACTTAGAGCGTGCTTGAGAGGGGAGGGACTGCAGGCACGGCTGCAGTGCAGGGAGTGGAAGCAGAGCGCTGAATACACACGGCTCTTATTAAAACGACGCTTTCTCACCGGAGTACTTTCCCCCGTCATTCTTAAAGTACCGATACTAATGAAACGGAGGAATCGTAACGTTTTTAACGGCAGGGTATCGCGGTACCTTTCAAGTATCGGTACACCGTGCAACACTATTATGGAGCCTTCATTGTAACAGTAATTCAGATGCAATTAGCCTATAAAAGGCCTCAAATTGGAAGCACTGTCTGGGCCGTCTTTTTCACTCAATTCTGCAATAGGTAGATCTTGCCTTTGACCTAGGCCGAGGTCGGTGATCTTGGGCTTAAAAAGGTTGGTGACCACTGTCCTAAATGATAATGAAAAGTGTGCACTAGTAACAAGAGGACCAATACAAGACACAGATATAGTCTTTCCGCAGAATACTGAAAAAACTTCACATAGATTTACAATGGAAAACTATTCTGGTTTTAATTGTTCTTTATATTTATATGTGTGATTTATTCATTTTTGTATGTCTTTTATTTTCATATTACTAACTAATAACTAACTTTGAATATAACAAAAATGCGAAGTTGTTAAATAAAAAACTGTTTACATTTAGCAATTTTTTTGTTGGTGTCATATTATTTATAACACAATGGTGATGAAAGCTGGTTCGAGGGGCCCCCAGTGAATTGTTGCCTAGGGCCCCCACATACCCTAGAATCGGCCCTGGATTCAACACCATATTATGTTCCAAATCACATCAAGCATTATTTCTGAAACAGTATGGAGCTCAAATGCTTTCTCTCTTGGGTTTACCACAAGGACAGTACCCTTTATATCCGGCTTCTTTACACATATTCTTATATAGTGTTAGATATGCTTGCTAATGTAAACACAGACCATATTGCTTAGGGATGCACGATATTGGTTTTTTGAAACCGATACCGATAACGTTCTGCTTCTCAAGACCGATACCGATAATAAAAAAAAATGTACGCCACTAATTATTTTAACGCGATTAGCGCATGTGTATTTGTTTTTCTCAGCCGCCCCGTAGTTTCAGAGCGCATCGAGTTTAAAATACCATCTACAAGCTGATGCTGACAGCCCCGCTCCTGTCGTCCGCTTGTGGCAGACCACACTTCCACGCTCACCGGCAGGCACTGACTGGCCATCTGGAGGACCGGGAGGGTGTGTGTATGTGTGGCCCGAGCGAGCGAGAGAGAGACCTTACGTGCATTGTTGTTGTTAGCATCTGGTGCTAGCTAGCTGCGCTAACGGATATACAGAGCTGTTTAAATGAAAACAGAGGAGCGACATTTCGCCACAACTGCGCCGAGCACTTGACTTTATGCAGGAAGCCAGACAGTGGGACATTGTACGAAAAGTCAGCACACTCAGCACGGATAGTGCGCAACATGATTGCAGCGTCCAGGCAGCTCCGGTTCGAGCATATGCCTTGAGTTGCACATAGCTCCAACGCCCATACCACCGACGACATGTTTGTTTACTGTCCTGGCTTCACGGCCGCACACCATTTACGTCACAGCCAGGCATGAGTTAGGGAGCGCTGGATTTGTGAAAAACTCCCCTCTTCCTAAACCACTAATACCACAGTAGGCTACTGGCAAAACGGGAGGAGCCGAGTGAAAAACAAGCGCCCCTCATCCCAATCCACCCACACCGCAGTATTTTTTTCTTTTTTTTTACCCAAAAAATATATTGTATATTATCGGGGCTATTAATACTGGTATCGGGTTTATCGAGATGACGTCATAATTCCTAATATCGGACCGATAATTATCGGGCCGATAATTATCGTGCATCCCTAATATTGCTTCCAAAACACACTGTGCATTGTTGCTGATACAGCACATAGCTTGACATGTTCTTTATTCAGTGTTTACCGCTAGAACAATGCAATTATATGTATTATATATATATATATATATAATAACTTCAACTCTAAGTCCCTCCCGTAGACATCCTACTGAATGACGTGGGGTCCACAGCAAATCTGGATCAGCTCCGTTGTGCCGCCGTTTTTAGAGATGTGGGTACGGAGGAAAAGAGAAAGGGTTGTATTGTCTGACACTTTGTGAGTCTCCTTACACATCGGGGACACATATGTATGTATAAAAGACATCAAAAAGTGCATTTTGCATAATAGGAGTCCTTTAACACACATGTTTTATGAATTTCAGCCATTTGCTCTGCAATAATGTCAAAAACATTCTTGAAGATACATTGGGGACAAAAGGTGAACTGCCACTTTAAGGAAAGTCTCACAGTAAATTCAAAAGCACCGTTTAAAGAGAGAGAAAGAGAAACTGTTGTGGGGTGTGTGATACTTGTGACTTTGAACTTGAGAGGCTGCCACTGACAAACCCCATCAGCCCTTAGTGGGAGGTTATTCTTTAAAATCACATGATCTAAAGGAGACTAGATAAGACATAACAAGCAGCAACAACTGCTACTGCACACACTTAGGTAAACAACTAATGTATTTGCAACTCAATAGAATATGAACATCAACTCATGATTATAAACAGACTTATTTGTGGTTATCATCCAGCACAGCTGAGGTAAGTTTTAATGAAAATCACCATCACTACAGCTTTCTACTGGGTGTATAAGATGGTTATACTATAATGCATTTCATTCTTTATAGGCGTGGAGGCCTGCTGTTGGATCTGCAACTAGACACCTACACTGAACATTAAACTATCCTGTTGTTGTTGTTGGAGGGAACCCTATTGTAACAATTGATGTTCTACATAATTAATGTAATTCTGATTAAAATATTGTCAAGAGTAAATGCTTATTCAGTTGTGACTAAGTGTAAAGTAGTCATTAGGTGTCTCTTTCAGAAATAATTGCAGTAGGGCTATGATCTAAATTCCAGTTTGTAAAGGCGACAGTTTCAAAGAATAAAGTAGAGTAAGTGTTCTTGATCAGTCCAAACAGTCCATTGGAGTTCAAAGTTAAGTTGTTAGGAGAGATGTTGTCAGCAGTTACTCACTGAAAAGCTGATGCAAATGCATTTAAGTAGGTGAACTGTGGTTAATTTTGTTTTTGAAATAATGGTGACAACTGCAAATACAATACTGCTTAATCCGAATGTAAAATCTATGTTTTGCAAAAGTTAACTGTTTAGTTGACTGACATGACAGATGCTAAGGTTTGCTATATTATATGACTATTTGTGACACTATTCAGCACAAGAAATGTCTCACACACACAGCAGGCTGTAAGCAAAAGCCCCTGACATTTCTGGAAGCTTAAAGTTTTGCTTTCACTTTGCATTGGTAAGTCCCTAGATGTTCAGTCTTTCCCTCCACAGGAAGATAATGGCCCTTTGAGGAAATGTGTTTCTTTCTCAGCCTGTGGTGCGACACACTAGATGGGTTGTTCGCCGCAGAAGCACTCTCTAATACAGTTTTAACAGCCGAATACTAAATAAAACCACTCAAGGACTATACCTTATACGATTGGATGGGGGGTAAATAATCTTCACAATGTAACGAGAGATGCACAAAGCCCTATATTAAGCCCTATATTAACTGTGAACCATTTCTCTAAATAAAAACATCCCACCCATTTGGATTGGGAGATCCAAAATTAACTCCACGCTCCCCTCTGCTGTCATGAGGTGACATTGCACAACTACCAAACACACCTCATTACAGATACTAGGATCATTTCACAGAACCTGGTTTTCCAGACGTTAGTAGGGGTAAAACCATGCCGATCCAGGTGGATCCGAGCATTGCGGTAAACATGCATACACTCTGTAACTTATTTTAGGTTAACAAGTAGGTCTAATTAAAAGTCAGAAATTAACTCAGGCCTGCCGACTCCACAATTGTCAGCTGAAGAAAAAAAAAAAGAGCACAAGCAACTGCTTTCACAGAAAGACAGAAAGGCGTAAAAAAGTTCAATGTAAGATGGGTTGAATGTCATAATGCCCAGGACTTCAGGGGTTAATAGAGTTTGCAGGGGCAGACATAAAATGATATCTAAACTAAGCGGACATCCACTTTTATTTATAGGGTCAGTAAACACTTAAGTGTTAAATAAATAAAGGCAATTCCTTTCGATCACATGGTTGGCTATAACCCAAAAAAGAAAGTGAAAGCAAGCAAACCTATAAAACAGACCAGGAGGACTGTCCAGCTGAAAGGCATTTGAACAAGAGGCACATAAGTGAAGGTAATGACTTTATGTTTTACCAACCAAGTAAATTCTCCATACTGTATGCTATCATCATTTTGAGTATCATTTTAATGTAGTACAGTTATTATGTATGTATAGTTACTGTGATTATTATACTAATCTCTGAATCTTTAGTTTACTGCAAGAAATACAAATAAAATAAACATTTATTCTTCTAGCTCCAGGTTTCATGTTACTTTATTTATTTATTTGGTTTGATTAAATTATTATTATTATTATACTTTTTTTTATTTGACATAACTCAACTATCATTTTATATAGGCAAGGCAAGTTTATTTATATAGCACTTTTCAACACAAGGCAATTCAAAGAGCTTTACAAAAAATGAAAGACATATAGGATACTGTCTTGTTGTTTAGCCTTTGTCTATTGTTAACATCCTGCATGTTTTCTATGAATTGTCGTGTTTTTCCTACCATCTGTTGCACTTAGCTTTTGATATTTTTTTATTTATTTGTCAATATCCCTTCAATAAAATTAAAAATAAAAACATGTACTGTCTTTACTATAGAAGTCCCTAACTTCAGTTCAGTCAGACAACTCACGTGTTTCTTTAACATGTTTATTAGAAGCAGCATATAGTTGAGTTTGGCGACTAGGCTCGGGCATCATCACTCCATAGATATACATAGCACGATGAGTGATGATTAAATAACCCCCGAGCCTACAGGTGGAAGCTGGGGTGGAAGCTGGGGTGGTGGTGGGGCAGGCAAGCAGCAGCGACCTACAGTGTAGAGGTAGCTGCAGCAATAGCAGCAGCAAGCAATGCATGGAGAGTAGGGATGTGCATCTCCATCACTGAGGCCGATGCGATGCGCATCTCGATACGTTGCCACGATACGATACATTAACGATACATTTGAAACACTAGGCGATGCGATACGATACGATTCACCCCTGTTGCGATACAGTTCGATACGATTTGATTCAACATTATGCGATTTGGTGCGATACGATGCGATTCAACACGATGCAAAAATAATGATACTTCAATATGGTACGACAGAGGATTTTTGTTTTATTCCTTATATGCAGCAAATCATACATTAACAAAAAAGTGCTTTACATATTTGGTACTGCACATCCCATCATGCCGTTTATTTTGTTGCCTTTAAAAGCTTTCCAGAGTACAATTCTATAACACCTCACAGTCCACATCCAACAATGTAAGGATGCATTGCTCATGATTAACAATGTGAAAATAACAGCTACCATAGTGCAATGCCCATACAGCTGCCAGCCTGATGTGCTTAACACTCATTCATAGGCTAACTCACCAGTGAGCAGAAAGCAGTGGGTTCTATATGAACAATAAAGAATACAAATAACCTTTCACAAACAGGTATTTCATAACTGCTTACAGTAAGGAAGACATTTACATTATTATTGGCCGTCACAGGCTGCTGTAAACTAAACACCACTCTCTCTGACAGAACACCTCACTGAGTGATTTAACTCGTATGTCTAACTTTCAGGTTTATCTTTTCAGCCGCAGACCCCATGTCGCCTCTTTATGTGCGTCGCTAAGTTCCTCGTACTACTTGTGTACTTTAAAGCGGCTCGGAATCGTTAACAATTTGCGAGCGATTTTTCAAGTTGACCGTCTGTAGTATATAGTGCCGCACACATATACCATCAGGACGTTACTGATGGGGTGCGGCTGCGGAGTGATACTGTGTGTAGAGAGATCTGGCAGGTTAAATAGAGCGGCATATTAAGGAGACTCTGTTTGGTTGGTTGTAGAGTGGCACGGGGGCGTTATGTATGAATGCAGCATAAGTGCTCGAGTTTACTGCCTGAACTAGCTCGCAGGCTTCGCCCCATTTATTGGATTTTAGGCAATGCAATTATTTCTCTTGAACTTTGTATTTAAATGCATTCACATTTACATTTCTTACTTTACAGATATGGGAGGAGGTAAGTCTTGACCTATCACAATTTGAGCTTGTGAGATATTTAAAATGTTGATAATGATAGCATTCTCAACAAAAAAATGCATGTATTTAATTAAATGTAATATACAGCCTTGTTTCACTGGATTTCAACAAAGGAAACTTTCTGTTTAGCACATGTTGTGTATTCAGTAATACAAATCACACACTATGTTATTACAATTAGGGATGCACCGAATATTCGGCCACCGAAAATTATCGGCCGAAAATGGTTAAAAAGGCCCTTTCGGCCGAAAAATATCACCGAATGTCAGAACAGGCTTACGTTGGTAACATAACGTGTTGTTGTGATGACGTAATAAAGACGCGGCGACCATGCTCGCGGCTGGCTCACAGGGGGGGGGGGGGACATTGACCTTTGTCATCGAGATTGCCCTGAGCCTTTAACAAATCGTATTAAATAATCTGATGATAGACTGTAAACAGTATAGCTGAAATTTTAACAAACTAAATAACTCAGTTACCTCTAATCATTAACCCATGTTTGTATCATGTAGTTAACTCCGTGTGTTGCTGCTAGCATACATAACACCTGACGCGGAAACGTTACTCCTGGATGGGGCTACAGAGCTGCTAGAAAGACGGTCGAACCCGGTACATTCCTCCGTCTGCATGCGGTGCACTTTTGCTAAATGTTTAGACAAATTGCTCGTGCTTACATGCTAAACTCTTATTGCACTTATGGTAACAAGTATTCTCCACATCGAGACGGGTAAAGTTTAACCACACCTCGGAGCGCGTTCTCTCCGCCATCTCCGCAGTGTGCTCCGCTGCATGTAGCAGCTGCGTGTGTGTAAACTGCCCCGCCCCCTCGCACACACAAGGGGGAGAGAGATCTCGTCTGATCGAAAATACATCATAGACGAATTTGTTGTCTTTGCATATTAGAAACGAGTTGGCGACACTAAGACTGCGATATAATGTTTTTTAGCAATAATACATGACATATATAAATGTACTGTATGCATTCAAAAGTGCTGAATAAATGTTTTATGGACCCATAATAGTGATTATTATTTAAGTTAAGTTTTGCCATAATCATGTCTATTTCCATAATCAGGTAGCTGAACAACATTGGTAAAAAATGTATACATTATATATATATATTTCTATTAATCATTTTCGGCCTTTCGGCATTCGGTTTTCGGCCAACTGTTTCCTATTTTCGGTATCGGTTTCGGCCAAGAATTTCCCATTCGGTGCACCCCTAATTACAATGTTGTTTCTTTGTTAAAGACTTTTCTTTTTGCCGCTGCTTTTAATTGAACTATTCACATCTTAAACTGCACTGTAACTTTTATCCATGTATTTTTCTTTAAATGTTTATTTTATTATCTTTTCTTTTTAATGACTGATTTTAAATGCCATTTTCTTAATGTCTTTCATTTTTTGTAAAGCACTTTGAATTGCCTTGTGTTGAAAGGTGCTATATAAATTAACTTGCCTTGCCTTGGTTTTAAAAGCACCAACAAGGAAAATCTTGATTTCATGAAGTCTTACCATCCTCGTAACAAAGAAGTGAAAAATCTCAGAATTCTGCTTTATGGACCAGTCGGTGCTGGCAAGTCGAGCTTCATCAACTCTGTCGAAAGCACTTTACGTGGCAGAGTTACCGGTCGAGTTATGACGGATTCAATCTCTGGAGAGAGCTTTACCACAAAGGTAAGATTGAGATCGAGAAATACATTTTTCCAGGGATGTATTTGTGTGGTTTTTTCATCATCTCTGTCAAATATGATTCCTGCACCCTCTATAATAATAATAATAATAATCTTTATTTATATAGCACCTTTCATACAACAAGTGCAGTCCAAAGTGCTTCACATAGACATTTCACGGTTAAAATGCATCGCAACGCATTGAGAAAGTGCAGCAGATAGCAGGAGTTGGCTTCCTAAAAGGCTAAATTGTACAAATGTGTTTTGAGTTTTTTTTTAAAGACTTCCACCGAGCTGGCTTCCCTGATTTCTACACGTATTTTTTTCAATATAGCTTTGGGGCAAAGTTAATGAAAGCTGCGTTACCAAATGTATTTGTAACGCTGTTTTTTGGAACTTGTAAAAAACCAGCAGCAGAGGATCGCAGTGTTCTTGATGACTTGTAGCTTACAAGGGAGTTAAAAATATAACTTGGACCTTGCCCGTTCAAATCAATCCTAAAAGAAACAGGAAGCCAGTGTGCGGAGCGGCTAGAACTGGAGTAATGTGTTCTCATACTCTCCTATAAAGCTCTCATAATCCCATACCTGATCTATTGCAAATCATTTACATTACCCAATCAATATTTATTCCTTGTTCTATGTTCATTCTTTGTTCAGATTTGTGCTTACTTAGCTTAATGTACATTGCAACCAAGAATAAGATAAGAAGCAAGTATATTGCATTGTTATTTTTTGGTAACCGTTAAGGTAGAAACTCAGAATTTAATCCAATATACCCTCATGTTTACTCTGAAGTAGTAATGCTGTTTTAACTTTTTATATTGCACCCTTAGCTGTGAATTATTAAAATAATGCAAATAACCACACATTTAGCTTTACAGTATAAAACGTTTAAAATCCGAAAAGACCGAGCATTTTACTCTTTCCTTTTCGATGACATCAAACTGGCCCTGAGGGGACATGTGACAGAAGGTTACAAGGTAAAACCCTTTGAACTCTGACATTATTTCACTTTTCGCCTTTATTATTATTTTTATTCTGTTTGCATTCCACACTTAAAATTAAATGAGTTAAATAAATGTAATTGCACCAATTTAACCGTTAGTTTTTTTAAACTATTTCTTTAGTTTATTAAAACCCTTGAACGAGGGTGATAAAGACTACATCTCAAGTCCCACTCTGGATGAAAAGGTCCACGCTCTGGTTTGTGTCTTCCCTGCCGGCTCAATATGAAGAAGAAGATTCAACTTATTGTCATTACGCAGTACAGGTACTATGTAACAAAACGGTTTCTCTGCATTTGACCAATCCTAGTGTTAGGAGCAGTGGGCTGCCATTATGTACGGCGCCCGGGGAGCAGTGTATAGGAACGGTGCCTGGCTCAGGGACACCTCGGTAGCACTTGGTCTTTCCAGGACTTGAACTGGTGACCTTCCAGTTGCCAAGCCAAGTCCCTATGGACTTCGCCACCACCGCCCACCCAATATTTGTATTAACTGATGAAGTTGTGAAGAAGATCAGAGATGTCAGACTAGTAACCAGTGATATGGGTAAGAACAGACATCACAGTGGTTTTGACTCTGGAAGTGTTTGGACTGTGTAGATAATATAAGAGCACAGTGTAGACCTGCTCTATATAAAAAGTGCGCTTAGATAACTTGGTGCTATATACATATCTTTTGTATTCAATTCAATGAAATGTATTTATATACATTTCATTACGTTATGACTGTGTGTGGATTTCTGTTGTCATATTGTTAATGATTCAAAATACCAGTAAAACAATTGCTTAAAATAATAATAATGTTTCTGTCTAAACAGGGATTCCACAATTCGCTATTCTCACCAATGAAGCTTGTCCTGAGGTGAACAAATATATGAGCAATGTCTATAAGAGCGTGTACCTGAAGGAACAGGTATGTTTCCATCGAGGATTTTCTAGTTGTTGTTGGACTTGTAATGTTATAGTAGCATTTTCAGAATTTCAGCACAACAATCTCCTTCGGTCACGTATTTGTACTTTACTAATCATCTGAAATGCTGTTTCACAGGTCGATAGGTTCATCCATTTGCATGGCATTCCACTAAACTACATCTTTCTGGTGAAGAACTACCAATCAATGCGCAGATACTGAGCGCACTGAGACAGATGGTTGACTACGGAGAACACTTCCTTAACAACATGTAGTCCCACATACTGCATGAAGCATGATCTAAGTCCACCCACATGATGACAATAGCCTCAATGCAGCGTTGACAAATATGACAAAGCTACATTAGCTTGGAAAATAGCAATATGGGGCACTGAATTAGCGCACCCCGCGGTTCCTCCACCTCACTCTACGCCGCTGGGAGACTGACGGTACATGTCCACCAGATCAGGCCTGGAAACCAAGTTATACCTTGAGGCAACACTCCTAATGTAAAACGGACCACTTGGAAAGAGGTTTGTGTGTGTTATCTGCTGTTGTCCTCTTTCACACACCAACATCCTGTAAGTCACTATCAAAATATGGGAAGCAGGGAGAAGCAGCTCGTATACATAACTGACCAATTAAGAATACCAAAAGGTAACTACATTATAGTGATGCAACATGGGGTTTTCCCAGAACTATAAATCTTCTACCTATAACTACCTAAAACATTTTTATTTGAGAAACTGAAAATGTAGACATAATATAGTTATTTTCAGATATTAAACTGGTGTTTGAGTTGAGTATGCTACAGACTATAGATACATGTAATAAAGTTGACATGAATCTAATTTTGCCAAAATTATTCTCAATTGCACTTCATTACTTCATCATTTCCGATGACAATATGTATCAGATTTGATGGTCACTCATTTCATTTTACAGATACAGTGTGACACCTGTGAAAGATGGTTCCATGAGCAGTGCCTGGGGATGAATCAGGACCAACTCCAAGAAGCCTTTCTCTGCAACTAGGGCAGAAGAACATGGCAGTGTCATATATCTATGGAAGAAATGTTTTTTAGACCACATTAAAGTTGACACAAATGCTCATTCTTGTTCTCTGGAGGGGACTTTGAAACTCAAATTACTGAAAAAGTACACAGTAAAATTAGTTCATATTATTTGTGCAAGTAGTCCTAGAAGAACTAAGTACAAACATGGCAGTTTCATAAACTACTTATGGAAGAAATGTTTTTTAGACCACATTAAAGTTGACACAAATGCTCATTCTTGTTCTCCGAAGAGGACTTTGAAACTCATATTACTCAAAAAGTACACAGTAAAAGTAGTTCATATTATTTTTGCAAGTAGTCCTAGAAGTATTAAGTACAAACATGGCAGTTTCATAAACTACTCATGGAAGAAATGTGTTTTATCCCACATTAAATCTGACACAAATGCTCATTCTTGTTCTCTGGAGAGGACTTTGAAACTCAAATTACTGAAAAAGTACACAGTAAAAGTAGTTCATATTATTAGTACCAAGTAGTACCATTAAGTACAAACATGGCAGTTTCATAAACTACTTATGGAAGAAATGTTTTTTAGACCAAATTAAAGTTGACGAAAATGCTCCTTCTTGTTCTCTGGAGGGACTTTTGCCATTCTCAAGAAGTACACAGTAAAAGTAGTTCATAGTATTTGTGCAACAAGTGTATGAAGCAATAAGTCCTAACATTATTCTCATAAATTACCCTGTTCCTCAATCGCAGATAATATAAATGACCCACATGCCATCCTTTAATTTGAAATCCTCACCGGAAGTGTTCCTGCACATACGAAACGTCCAGCTTCCCAGGGTTGTTTTATTGCATTACCGTAAACATGTAACTAATCGCGCATTCGAAATACAGGGGCGGCTGGTTTGACCGCAGTTTTCGACTGGATGTGTCATTTTAATTCAATGAGTGACACGCCTAACCTGCGTCAGATTTAAATTCTTTCAAAACAAAAGACAAAAACCGAAAGGATGTTAAAACATTTATAGCTGCAGGTCCTCACTCAAAACACTAACATGTAAATAACACTAAGCAGGATTCAACAACTGATAAGTTAAGGCAACTATGTCTCTACATTCACAAGTTTAGGAATGTCAATTTGTGATTATGAACAACTTTTCGCTGCTTTTTATTTTTCCCCAAGAAACTGTGGTCAAATGATATTGCCAAATTAGTGAAAAGGAAACTTAAAAAAAAGTATAATATAGTCATTTGTGAATCACTAAAGATAAATCAACTTTACTTCATGAAGTCAGGAAACATAAAATTGTACATTGATAAAGGCAATTCCTTTTACACTAAGTCACATGGTGTGCTATAACTGGAAAAGAAAGTGAAAGTGAGCAGCTGTTATTATATAAAAGATACTTTCCTGTCGAGTTGAAAGGCACTTGGGCGAGAGGCATATAACTGAAGGTGAGGATTTCTATTACTTCCCAATTCAGTATATTCTTGTTATATCATAATTTCAAGTACAGTTTAGTAGTAGTGTAGAACAGTTATATAGATGTATAGTTAATGTATGTGTGTTAGTATTTAAAAAAAAATCTCAAACCTTTAATGTTTGTAGAGCTGCTGCTAGAAAAAAAAGTAAAGTTAATATAAACCTTGATTTTTCTAGCTCTGGGTGTTTATTCCGTTTGATTTAATCTCTTTATAACCTGCACAAAAACTGAATTTGCCAAATCGATGCTTGTTTGTAGTGGATAGATTAAATGAAAGATACTGTGAAGTATATCATTCTCTGGATAAATACAAAATAAGTCATTTTACCAGAGATTGCTGCTTAGTGATTCACTTAGATGTCCGGGTCTTGAATATAGTCTGATCATAAGGCAAAGAATGCATTATAGGGTATTTGTTCCTGACTGCACTCAAAGAGAAGAGCATTTACACTCTCCTTTATTCTTTAAACAAAAGAAAGGGGAAAGTGAAATCATTTATTTTACCTGCAATGTCTGTTAGACATACGGTGCAGTAATCATAAACAGACAGTCAAAAGTGCTCAGTTTATTTATTTTGCCTACTTTTTAACTTGAACACAAATCATTTGTTTTATATTTTCTGCTAAATCAATATAACAGGTTTTTAAAGATATTCATACAAAATAAAATGTTTGCTTGGACAGCACACTTGAGCGAGTATGAGAAGTTGTAAATGGAGGAATTACAAATATTATACATACTTATAAAAACAACTGCTTTACGATATACAGTATAACAAATGTTGTGAAATATTTGATCTCAAATATTGTATTGATAATTTTTCTACAAGTTATTTTTGTAGCCATGGGAAACAGCCAAACTAAAGAATGGAGGAGCGTACCTTGGGGGTGAGTGACTTTGGTGAAACACTTTTTTAAAGCAAAACTCCTTTGTTGAGACTGACCTTTGTTAAGCCTTTTATTCTATTTGTTGTCACTTTTTAGAAACATGGTGGTCTCATTTTAATCGGTCAAAGAATGATTTGATCTAAATTCTCTAATGTTTTTCCATTGAACAGAAACAATGAGATAGAGCTGCAGATTGTGAAGAAATACCAGCCTTCTAAAGAGGATGTCCAGCTCAGATGTATGGTTTATGGACCTGTTGGTGCTGGCAAGTCCAGCTTCATCAACTCTGTGGAAAGTGTTTTACGAGGCAAAATAACTGATCGAGCTAAAACAGATTCGATCGGTGGCGAGAGCTTCACCAAAACAGTAAGAATCCCCAAAAACAAGAAAAAACATAACGACAATTAAAAAACACAATGCATATTTTTATCTGGCTCAGTGGTCAGAGCTGCATGGTGCACGGTGTGCTGAGGCTCAGTCCCTGCTGAGGAAGATGCAAATTTGAATCTGGCTTGTGGTCTGTGAACACGTGTCATCACTCTATCTCCCCCCTATCAAGAGATTCATTCCACATACAATGTTGTGTTGTAAAAAAAGACTGTCTTTTAATTGTATTTTTGATTTTTAAAATGTTGTATTTGTTTTGTATTTGTATTTTTTTTATTGTTTTCTGTTTCGTGAAATGATGTTATGTTAGCTACTAGACTACTGATGTTATGTTCTGACATCTAGGGAAACCAAATTACCATGTCATTATAACAGCACTTTCATGTCTTACAGTACAAAGCCTACAAAATCCGAAAAGGAGAGCCAGGGACACATTACCCTTTTGTCTTCAATGACATCATGGGCCTTGAGAGGGATGAAGGAAGAGGAGTTTGTGTGGAAGACGTCAAACTGGCTATGAAGGGACACGTGAAGGATGGTTACAAGGTACAACTGAATTCTGTAAACCTTACCTTTACTTTGAGTAAAACAATCCCACATTGTGGTCATTTTCTACTATCAATTTTTTCACATGAAATATGGAAAACCAAACGAGGCTCCAATTGAAAAACTACTGTATTTGTGCACTCCAATTGACTTTTTTAAAATGTGATTTAACATTGTTTTCCAGTTCAACCCTGTCTCTGCCTTGTCTGAAGATGACCAACACTACAACAGCGACCCTTCTCTAAATGACAGAGTTCATGTTCTGGTTTGCGTCATCCCTGGCAACATAGCAGGATTGCAGAATGATAATGCCACATTACAGTTACCGACTGAGGATGTGAAAAAGTTGAGGGAAGTCAGACTTGCAGCCAGGGACATGGGTAAGGGTTGGATATTGAAATAACAAATTCAATTGTATATATCGTATTTTATAATTATGTTTAATATATTATAATTCTAATCAAATAAAAATAACCTGAGATTATTTTTGACTGATTCTGCTCTGTATTGGCAGGGATTCCCGAAATTGCTATTCTCACCAAAATTGATGAAGCCTGTCCAGAGGTCGGCAAGGATATAAGGAACGTGTATAAGAGCAACTACCTGAAGAAAAAGGTAAGTTTCTATTGGTAATTTTGTTTTAGACAACTGTAATTCAAGTTTGAATATCATTTTGTTTTACATTGTAATTTTGTAACATCACAATCTTCTTTGATCAGCACTTTCATTTATTAAATGTCAAATTCTTAAATGTAGATGGAGGAGGTGAGTGGCGTGCTGGGTGTTCCACAGAGCCGCATCTTTCCTGTGAAGAACTACCATGAAGAGCTCAACACAAATGATGACATTGATACACTGATACTGAGCGCACTGACACAGATGATTGAATCTGGAGAAGACTTTTTCGACGACCTGTAAAACTACATTCTGCTGAGGCAGGTCTTGTTGTTATGACAACATGTTAAAAGCATGTCTGGAATGATAATTATAAAGTGGGCAATGTAGCTTTTAGGTTTTCATGTGCAGCCTTTAATGCATCATATCTATACTATATCACTACATTGCTGAGTTAAGTATGAAAATGATTTATTCTTCATGTGTTGGAGTCTTTGCATTATGATGTTATTTGTGCTTTTAATGATACATGTCGTATTCTATTTTGCCATCTCCAGGTAATCAAGAATCTGATTATGTGCAGGTCAAGGACTAAATTCGGTTGGAATGTAAAACTTTTTTAGATTAAGGATTACATATCCTATACCCGTCACTGATTTAAAGGTATTTTCTATTCAGTGTTGCATTTTATTGATATCAAAATGTTACTACAGTACGGCTGTTCAGGTAAAACCACAATAAAGAGCACAAATATTGAAATGTGTCTTTGGTCTTCTTCTTCTTAATTACTTTTCTCTAGTGCAGGTGCCCCATTTGAGTCTAAGTCTGTAACTTCTTCGGAATAAAATTGAATGTAATATGTATTCATATTTATACTTTATATATAAAAGCCTAAGTAACGTCAACGTTAGTTCAGACTGTGTGTGCAGTGTTTCTATAAGGTGTGTGTATCTTAAAAATATGAATGTCACGTATCACAATGGTTCCAGAGATAATTTGAAGTAGATATTGCAATTTGGTTTGGTTTAGCTAGAGTAAATTCAGTAAGTTCGAGTGCTGTTCAGCATTGAGGTAATTTAAGTTTTACTGCAAGAAGTCACTGTCAGTAACCTTACACATGGTACTTTACATATTTATTTATCCATATTGATTTTTCATTAGAGGGTCCCTGTGTGGACCAATGGATGATCAACAAAAAATATTTAAACTTGTTATTGGTCTCCTTTTATTTAGAACTGAAATACTTACTCTCATTCACAGTTCTAATGCTTTTTCTATGTAAATAAAAGGCCTATTTCGCTCAAATAATGTTCACAAATGTGTTAAAATCAGTGTTAGTGATCCGAGATAATGCATTCTCCTCACAGGTGTGGCATATTATGATGCTGATTAGACAGCATGATTATTAGAAAAGGTGTGCCTTACGCAAACAAGCAATAATGGGGAGTACATCACCTGCTGCCACAGCAGCCAATCGCGGAACTGCCCCCCAAGACCAGAAAGATCTCATGTGCTTTATACATGTAAAACACACACGAACAACACACACTTGAAACAGCATACGTGGCAGAGATGTTCCAACCTTATACAGTCATATATGTTGCATCCTCTGAGTTCTACATGATCCCAGATTTCATGACCTTATTTAGCAGCTACCACACATGTCAACAGGGTCGGCTCTAGAACAAATCAAATGGGGGGGCAATCATTTACCAAGGGGGGGCACACACTGCCGTCAACAACCAACACACAAACACCAACGCAACTTCAATTTAAAAAAACATGCTGTAAAGTCTATTGTCTTTCACACACATTGCAGGGGTGTAGTGCTATTGTATAGCGCACCTATGACCTGTGCATACATGCAGGTCAGGTCGATCACCAAAACAGAAACATATGGACATAGGCCACCATATGAAAAGTGTGCAAATGTATTTAGTATCCTATCCATGTGAACATGTTTTAGGTGGGGGGTGGACCTAACCTCCTCTAGGAGGGTCTGGGGGCATGCTCCCCCGGGAAGATTATTTTTAAAATATTGAAGTTAAAAGCATCAATCTGGTGCACTTTGAGAGCAACATTAGGAGATCTATGGATACATCTCTCAACATCCATATAAAACAGAACTGTAAACAGATTTACTTTTTCTTTATGGATATTTTACTAATCACTCCCCTTTTAAATGGTATTCTTGTGTTATTGTCCTATAGTATTTCATACCCGTTTTTCATTTATTCTCTTATTCTTTAATAACTATAATGATCATATAAAGGTAGCCTATTCCTCGCAAATACTTGTTTACATAAATGGTGACCCACTGAGATAACTTACACTAAAGTGAACTATCTAAACACTGAGAGTCCTTACCCCACTGAGCTGACGTTATAAGATCCTCTCAGTCTGACAGGAGAGGACTCTCCTCCACCTTGGTGTAGAAACAGCTCTTTATATCCGTTAGCATAGCTAGCTAACCAGATGCTAACAACAATATTCCACGTTACCGCTCGCGCACTGACAAAATGCGCTCGTGCCACACACAGAGAGCCGAGCTTGAATGAAACACAGAGACCCATGTACTTGTACTGTACTGTATATCATATTATTTTCGATGGCTTTACTGTATAATCAGTATAACAGATGGACAGATCGCCACTGGGCTTTCATCTAAACACACAGCCACGTAATGATAACAAAACAAAAGTCGGGGTCATTGGTCAAGCAACACACCAATCAGAGAGCAGCAGTGAGCACACCTCAGGCTGTGTTTCATATAAAGAATAAATAAAGAATACAAATGTGTATTCTTTATTTCTGATGTATTTCACACAAAAAACTTTTGGTGGAAACGTTTTAAATGATTTTTTTTTTTTAAACGGCAAATTGGCAATAAGGCTCGTTGGGGGGGCACAGTGACTCATTTGGGGGGGCATGGCCCGCGAATGACCCCCCATGACGCCGACCCTGCATGTCAATGTATACAACTTCTGGTGAAGGGTTTCAGCTGATTGCCTATAGATGGGCCTCCTTCCAGCAAACCAAATGAACAACACACCGTCCACTGTGGCTTATACCATGTGACATTAATGAATATACCAGAAATACGCTGTAATAAACATTCTGCTATAACACTGTGGTCACAATAAAAGGCCACTCTAAAATGTGGAGTTTTATCATATAGCACAGATGTCGCAAGTTTTGAAGGATCATGACATTTGCATGCTGACAGCAGGAATGTTCACCAGAGCTTTTGCGAATTTAATGTTAATTTCTCGACCATAAGTGGTCTCCAAATGCGTTTCAGAGAATTTGGTAGTACATCCAACCAGCCTCACAACCGCGGATCACCTGTTTGCTCACAACTCACAATTTAAGCTGTTCCAAGATTCAAAACAGTTCAAGTCGCAGTTTAAAATGTGATTGAAACTCATCGTGACACATAAGTAGTTGAACTGCCAGCTGAAGAAGAAAAGAGCAAAAAACAACTGAAAACCACAATCAACCTAACTATAACACCAAGACCACAGCATGCTCTCTCTCTCTCTGCTCGGGAACAGCTGATTGCTGCACGGCGATCAGCTGTCCCTCCCTCCCTCCCTCAAAGTGTGTTTGGGTGTGTCTGTGTCTGGGTGTCTCATTCACTGTCCCTCAGGTTGTAGCATGTTTCAATTGCCAGTTTGTGGCTTGTATGTCTTGTGAACGCAACGCTGGCATAATATGGTGTGGCCTGCTGACATGGCCTGTAATAAACACACAGGACTAAAATAATACGTGTGTAATTCAGCCCAGATCCAGTGACTGCAGGCCAAATCCATTAATGCGGCATATATTAGTGAAGTTGCACCGGTATGAGGCGCAGTGATAACCACGCAACTGTCAGACAAGCGAATCGGCACATTTCAATTTCAGGAGAATATTGAAGATGTGATTGGTTGTTCCACTCTCCGTTTCTCACGAGACCAGCGCGCTGCTGTTTACATTAGTGTGGACTGGACCGACTGAAACTGACGGCAAGGTTAATTATTGTGGAAGGATGGACCCCCATCCCAGTAGCGCCTCCAGACATTTTTCATAGGGGTGGCCAAATGGGCCCACTGAAAATCTTGGGGTGGCCCACCAAAACCAAGAATGTAATTGTTGTAAAAGTATAGACTAGATGAAAACAATGGCAAAGAGAATCACCTACTGATATACATTGGTTTCTTATTTTACATTTTCTGATACTATTCATCTGAAGTGAATATAATACGGATAGTTAACATTTTACTTCAAACAACATTTAAAAGAACCTTGTTTTGTGTTATGTATACATGTGTTGGTGATTTATTGTTTTGTTTTGTATATATGCTAGTTGTTCTTTCCTTTTAAAAAGACAAATACAACTTAATTTAAATAAGTTCCTTTATTGTAAGGCACAAAATGTTCAGCATTCTCAACACATACAATACACAAAGCAACACAACATGTTCTTCAGTTATAAGTCTCCAGGTTATAAATTATTTTAGACTGAACAAAGCTGTTTGTGTCACACTGGGATCAAAGATGATTGACATTACTTTTTTAAATCAAGTTTTAAAACATGACTATTTTATTTCAACAGGACCCAAAAACACAAGGGGTATAAAATGGTAAATACATACTGTGATTGAACACAAAAACACCATCTATTATTGACCTTTATAGCAAATTCAAAACATAATAAATGATACAAAACACCACCTTTTAGTATTAGACAGAAAATAGGTGACGAGACATATTGCCATTTTTTTTAGATTAGGCCACTGTGGTGAGAGTAATACATAAAGCTTGTATTCCATTTGTTTTGAAAATGTATATTTATACTTTATAAACAAACTGGTTACCCTTTTTTTTAATTAGCATAGAGAACATTATGAAAACAAACTTGACTAATGGTCGGCTCATAACCTCAGAACACAGAAGAGGAAAAACTGCATAGATTCTCGTTTCATTTTGAAGGAGCTGCAGACCTAAAGTGTGTAGAAGACTTTAATGATTAAAAAGGTCACAATCACATTAAAACAACTGTACTTAGGTTTTAGTTTCACTTTTACAAAACAGAATTCCACATGTACTTTCTAGCATGTATGGCCATCTCCTCACTAGCCCTAAGCTGCTGCTCCCCTGCCAGCTCTGTCTCTCCTTTACTAATCTTCTTCTTAAAATAAGAAGAGATGTCTGTTGACTTTCTCTTCATTTTCTGCAAATTGACATTACACACATCAGTGATTAATAGTAGCCTACGCATTACACCAGCCCAGCATACCGACATCAGCTAACGTTAGCTTAGCAAGCTAAATTAACGCTAACTAGGATAGCCGCCAAAGTGTGTTTACAGACGAATTATACCTGAAGTCAAGAGTGGTGCGCGCAAGTATCAGAGTGGTGCGCGCGAGTATCAGAGTGGTGCGCCGAGTATCAGAGTGTTACCATGGTAGAAGAGGGAGAGGGAGGGGCTGCAGTATTACATTACATTACATTACATTGCATTTAGCTGACGCTTTTATCCAAAGCGACTTACAATAAGTGCGTTCGTCCAACAAAATACAACTTGAAGAAAACAGAATCATATAAGTACATCAGGTTTCATAGAGCAAAAACATTTCAAGTGCTACTCAACTGACTTTAGAAAAGCCAGTCCTTTATTAGTATAAAAGTGCTTCGTTAATAGTTCTATCGCTCGAAGTGGAGTCGAAAGAGATGAGTTTTCAGTTTGCGCCAGAAGATGTGCAAGCTATCTGCCG